CTCTTCCGAGGATAAATCTCTCCTAGAGTGCAGCCAACCTTGGCACCTGCCCAGGCACAGGCAGAATTACTTCTCTAGGTCAGGAAGACTTGAGGAAACAGGATAATTCAGCTTTAAATAAAAATTGAAATGCAATCACCACTTGGAGCCTGCCCTGGCCATTAGTGAGGGAACTTTGCTACCCCAGCCCTCAGTCACTGTGACTCAACGTGTCACCCCTGTCACCCTCTGCTCCATCACCCTTGGGTCCCTTCTCCTGGCACTGCCTGTGGTGCTAAGAGAAATTCATGCCTCTCAGAGGCCAACCCAGTCACCTCGTGCTGATCAAGCTGCAAATCATGTGTTGATGATCTGATGAACTCTCCCAGGGTGCCAGGAGAGCATCTTACAGGCATGAAAACCTTCTGCTCCCAAAGGAGCAGCAGGAGCTGGAAGCCACAGCTGCTCCACCTCAAGGAATGTGGCTGGAGGAAGATCTAGCTTGTGAGGACAGACTCAGAACTCTGCTCCTGCTTGCCACACGTTTTCTTGGTGACCCTGGACAAGCCCCCAGGGTGGGAGGGGAGAGGACAACCCACCTTTGCAGGACAGCAGGGATGGCTGAGAGACCTGCAGGCTGGACTGACCAGGGCCAGGCAGGGGACAAGAGAGATGGAAGGTCAGAACAGCTTGATCAGAGCAACATCACAAATTCACAGCAAACCAGGCAGGGAACCTCACACAGAGCAAAGAGACATCTTAACAGGAAAAGAGAAACCAGTAGAATTATCTCCAGTGGCAGAGGCAAGGAAGAGGCTTCTCCTGTTTCTAGAATGGTCACTGTAGATACCTAGAGGGCAGAGGGGACCTCAGAGCCTCTCATCCTCATGTCCCCACCCTGGCTGAGCACATCTCCAAGCCAGTCAAGGGATGCTGAAACCAACAGAGCATTCTGGACAACACAGGCAAGAGTGAAAGGCAAATGATCCCAGTCCAGTCCTTCCAGAGAGGGGATTTTCCCCCTCTGCTCTCATGAGACCCCACCCAGCACACCATGTCCAGTTCTGGGATCCCCAACACAAGAAGGTCATGGAGATCCTGGAGAGAGTCCAGAGGAGGCCACAGAGATGATCCAAGGGCTGGAGCAGCTCTGCTCTGAAGCCAGGCTGGGAGAGTTGGGGTGTTCAGCCTGGAGAAGAGAAGGCTCCAGGGAGACCTCAGAGCACCTTCCAGTGCCTGAAGGGGCTCCAGGAAAGCTGGGGAGGGACTTGGGACAAGGGCAGAGAGGGAGAGGACAAGGGGGGAGGGATGAAAACTGGCAGAGGGAGATGGAGGTGAGACATGAGAAGGGAATTGTGGAGTGTGAGGGTGGTGAGAGCCTGGCCCAGGTTGCCCAGGGAAGCTGTGGCTGCCCCATCCCTGGCAGTGTTGAAGGGCAGGTTGGATGGGGCTTGGAGCAACCTGGGCTGGTGGGAGGTGTCCCTGCCCATGCAGGGGGGTTGGAACTAGATGATCTTTAAGGTCCCTTCCAACTGAAACCACTCCATGATTCTGTGACTCCAACCATCCCTGCTTGGTCACCCTCCCCAGTCACCTCCAGAGAGGTCTGTCACCCTGGGCACCATGGGTCACTGGAAGCTGGGGTGACACTACGAGTGGCACACATGACCCACTACTCCCTTGCTCTTCCACCACAGCCAGTTCCTGCTGGCTCAGGGATGAGACAGATCTACTGTGTCCTCCTGGTTCTTGGCAAGAAACAGCTCCTAAAGGAGGCATTAAGAGCACCCCAGGGTGGGAAAGATGTGAACACAAGACATGCCAAGTTACCTTTAGTGCAAATAAGTCACTTTCCAAGCTGTGCCCTATCAATATGGTATCTGCACTGAACATGTTCAGGAGGACGGCTTGGACATCCCGCAGGGTGATACTGGTGTTCTCCAGGTCTTCTTCTGTCACACCCGAGAACCTGCAGAGCAAGAGCAGAAGAGAGGGCTTCCTCCACTAAAGGAACACCTCAAGGCCCAAAGTGTCTCAGCCACGAGGACATGGTGGTCAGTGGAGTCCTAACAAGTGCACCCAACCATTCCCACCAAGTTCCTGAGCACAAAGCTCTGAGCCAAGGAAGCCCATCCTCACCTGGTGTTATAATCCACCACCTTGGTGTCTGGTTTGACAAAGGTGTCATACACCACTTTCAGTTCTGAGTTGATCACAGTCACTCTTGTCAGCTCCAGTCCTTGCTTGGTGTAGCACTGCAGGAGACAGAGCAGACATGAAGGCAACAAGTGTGTGGTGACCACAGCACGGTCATGGATGAAGCTCTTCACCCAAGTGCTGCAGATCCCAAAAGCCAGTACACCCCTTGCACCCAGCTAACCACAGGGTGCACCCAGACCCCACACATTGCTCAAACTTCTTAATAAGAGCTAATTTAAACACACAGGACCAACATGAACTAAGAGTACCCAGCAGAAAGGAAAGAAGATGGTAAAGGAACCAGAACTTTCCTTCAGCCACTCATGTGCCCTCAGCCTTCCTCAAAAAGCTTTATGACTGCCCCTGTCATGAGGGACCCACCATTTCACAGTCTAAGGAGTAGATTCCAGGGTAGCCATCAGTTGTAGGCAACTTCTCAAAAGTCTTCACAAAGCCATCCAGGCTCTCCTTTCGTCCGTCATGGACATGTTGCTTAAAGGCAGAAAAAACACAAGGACAATTGTTGCTGGCAGGAATAAGAATCCCAAAAAGTCCACTTCCACAGAACCTCCCACTGAAACAAACCCAGTGATTTCTAAAGTTTAATGAAGAGTAAGTTTTGCCTCCCAACTGGTTGGAGAAGTTCACTGGAACAGCAAACAGAGCCACGAGCTGATTCCAGACCCAGCTCAGGGCTGGTGACATCAGATGGACAAGCAGATGGACAACCTTCACTTAGGAGTAGAATCACTCAGGAAGAGTCACACTGAGAGCTCACACTGATCTAACTCCAGCTGCTGGATCCTTGTTTGGTTTGTGGCCAGGGCATGTCTGCCAACCCCCTGCATGGGCAGGGACACCTCCCACCAGCCCAGGCTGCTCCAAGCCCCATCCAACCTGCCCTTCAACACTGCCAGGGATGGGGCAGCCACAGCTTCCCTGGGCAACCTGGGCCAGGCTCTCACCACCCTCACACTCCACAATTCCCTCCTCATGTCTCACCTCAATCTCCCTCTGCCACTTTTCATCCATCCCCCCTTGTCCTCTCCCTCCCTGCCCTTGTCCCAAGTCCCTCCCCAGCTTTCCTGGAGCCCCTTCAGGCACTGGAAGCTGCTCTAAGGTCTCCCTGGAGCCTTCTCTTCTCCAGGCTGAACACCCCAACTCTCCCAGCCTGGCTCCAGAGCAGAGCTGCTCCAGCCCTTGGATCATCTTCTCTGCACTCTCTCCATGACCTTCTCACTTTGGGGGCTCCAGAATTGTATTCCAAAACCAACCAGTTTGCAGAGAAACAGGAGCTGCTGCCTACCAGCACTTGAGGCAATAAATGGAGAGGATTTCCAGCCACCCTTCATTATTCCCAGCTAAAGCTCAAGGGTCAACAAGATCCAGCAAACAACAGCTCTCCAAGCTACCAGGAAAACTTGGGGACTGATTTAATGAGTAGCTTTAGCTAAGCTGGTGTTGCAACAGGCACTCCCACTCTCTCCTCTCCTCTGCAGCCACAAATCCTACCCTGCCTGGTCAGCCTGAAAGTCTTCTCTGCAGGGGAGTTTGGAAGTGGAGGATTGTACTGACCTGATTACCCACACCAGTGGGGAAGCAGGAACACACAATCCAGGGCAAGGCAGAGGCTGGGACCTTCCTTTTCCCTACCTAACATGGTTTTAGGTCAAATCAAAACCTGCTGCTCCACATCCAGAGGTGACGTTCTCTCTCCCTTATTTCACAGTGGGGTTCTTTTTGGTTTGTTTAAGTTCTGTTTGTCCCTAAATCTCAATGACTCTGCACACAATCCCAGCAGCCTGGGCACAGGCTCCTTCATCGTGCTTCTCAGAGATCTCAAGAGCTCTCACAGAACTCCTACAAGGAGCCAAAGTGGACTTATTCCTCTCAGGATAGAAAGGTGGCAGGGATGAGGAACCAAGACACTTGTAGAGCTGAAACCTGTGGGCAGAGGGACAAGCCAAGCAAGGATTTGCATCTTCTCCTGTACAGGTACAGGGAACTGCATCATCTGCAGGTAATGAAGCACCCAGGCCAACACTGACCCCAGTCTCTCCCTGTATCCAAAGCCAGTTCTGCTCAAAGGCCACATGGTTTGGAGCTTCCCAGGGGGCCACACTTGTCCATTCTGCATCTGTGCACACTGTGAGTGCGACTGTTCAGCTAAAGAAACAGGCAGAGCAGGTTACCAGGCCAACAGACACTAACACTTCACTCTCTTGCAGCTTGATCCCCTCCCTCCCTCTGTAACACAATGTAACTGGGCAGTGAAGAACAAAGTAATTACAAAAATCAAGTATTTTTTTCTATGCTACTTGCTACACAACTGCCCAGTTCTTCCTTGCTGAGAGGAGGACAGAAAAGTTGCTTCTGTTTTTCAGAGCAGAGGACGGGGCAGAGTCAGGGAATCACAAAGATCAGCTCCAGACTCCACTCCTGGTGGGAGGAAGGTGCGAGCACAGCTCCGTCCTGCCACCTCCTGCCACACTGCCTCACTGCAGCCACATCCCCGAGGAACTTGGAAGGAAAAGGCAGATGCTTTTCGAACCCAGCTGCAGATCTAGTTACTTATAACAGTTTCTTATGACAAAGATTTGCTGATTTCAACAGCCTCCATCAAAGCTGAAAGACGCTGTGCTCCCCAGTAGCCCAAACATCCCAAACTCTCATTCCATGGTAGATTTAGGTGAGACATCAGGAAGAAATTCTTCACCATGAGGGTGGTGAGACCCTGGTTGCCCAGGTTGCCCAGGGAAGCTGTGGCTGCCCCATCCCTGGCAGTGTTGAAGGGCAGGTTGGATGGGGCTTGGAGCAGCCTGGGCTGGTGGGAGGTGTCCCTGCCCATGCAGGGGGTTGGAACCTGATGATCTTGAAGGTCCCTTCCAACCTTCACTATCCCATCATTCTATGGTTCTAACCCATCACAGGATGCTGTGAAACTCATTCACTTGGGTGAGAAAACCACAAAAGGCAGCACAGGATGATCTGGAGGAGGCAGATGTGAAAGCCCTGGAGCCCTGGCAGCCAGGGGCTGGTACAGAGCTTCTCTGCTCCTTCCAAGGCCACGAAGTTTGATGCTCTACAGCAGCCAGGCAAAAAGGGGTGGAGAAATCAGGTTTTGCTAGCCCCAGTTTCTCCCAACTGGATGGGTTTTGGAACACTGATGAGAAAGAGATCTTCATTTTTCACATGAACAAGCAGCAGGAGAAGCAGCAGCCTGCCTGGTCCCAGCCCTGCTCCCCTGTGCAGGACAAGTTTTGGGGGTGCCCATGCAGACAATCCTTCCTGTTTTAAACCAGCCTTGAATTTTGCCACAGAAGTCACTTCCTAGCTAACTTTTGGCCAGACCAAGAAGGGCACACACCTCTCCAGAGCCTATAGCCAGCCTTGCTGGCCCTGGGTCCCTCAAGGTCTTTCAAACAGTGGGACAAGGAGGTGCCTTATCATGGATAAGCTCTGGGAGTCCCTTCCACTGGGCATGACCCCTTCAGATCCCCTCTGACTTGGCCCTGATTCCTGCTCTTCTCCCCCGTGTGGCAGCTGCCAAATACACAAAGAAAACAAGCGATGAGAAGACTTCCCAGAGACATGAGGGAGGGGCAAAAGACATCCTGTCAGTGCTCAGGAGGACCAGTGACACCAGGCTGGGAAGCTGAGTGTCCTTCTGCCTACAGTAAAAAAAAAAAATAACAAAACCCCCCAAAAAAAGCAGAGGTACCCAAGTTGTGTTCAGCTCAGTGGGCCAAAAATCCACTCCTGGGCAGATTTTCCATTCTGCTCTCTGGGATCCCTTTCCCTCCTCTGCTCCTCCAGGAAAGTACCACTGAGGAGTTACAACAGCTCCCTGCAAAGGTTCCTCCCCTTACCATGACACAGGGCATGAAGTGAGCAGAAAACTAAGGAAAGGTTTGGCCTGCAACAGAAAATCACCTCAGCACAGGCTGCTGGGAAAGGGAGGGGCAAAAAAAGGGGGAAAAAGTTTTGGCACACTGTTGTCAAGGCCCCAACACTGCTCCTTAAAAGTAAATCCCTTGTTTCTCCCTTTGTTTCCCCAAAGAAGTCTGTATGTGAGCTTTTGGTGGGCAGCTTAATCCTCTGGCATTTGCTCAGAAGAAATGAAACCTCCTCAGGCCAGAGAGCTGAGCCTCCTCCTTCCTGCCAAATGTTGCCTTACCCTTTGCACAGCAAAAGATATTTAAGAAGTACTTGTTTCTCCCCCTTAAGGGAAGCCACCACTCTTCTAAAGGCTTAAGCAAGGATGACAGAGCCATCAGCAATGTGAGCAGAGGACAAAGATCCTTGAGAATCAAAAGGTGTTCCTCAAGAACTTACTTTAGCAACCTGGCAGCCTGGTGAGCCCACAGCTCCTGAGCAGCAGCTGTAATGAGTTTCCCATCCACCTGGCACTGGAAGAGCAAGAGAGAAGAGTCAGAGAGTCCTGTTAGCAAGAGATTTAAAGTTCAGGTCTCACATGCAGATACCCTGGATGAGCACAGCAAAGGGGAAAAATAAGTATGGATCCATAGCAACCTAGAGTCTCTCCTACTCAGTCAAACTCCAGAAGCCACCAGGATGCTCTGATGGGAAACCACACCAGAGCTCAAATTAGGACAATGTCTTGCTGTGAATTAATTCAATCAAGACTTATAACTCTCCTGGGTTGGATCTAGATGAACTTTAAGGCCCCTTCCAACCCAAACCATTCTAGGATTCTGTGACAGACTTCTCATGCTCCCAAGTCAGCTTCTAAAAAGACTTCCAGAAGCCACAGGAAGCCTTGTTTTCTCTTCGACTTTTTTTGAAACTGAAATATTCAAACCTCTGCTCCAACCCCAGCCCCTCATTTTCAGCCACTTCCCAGCAGCTCTTTGCCAGGTTATTCCAGCAGCTGCGGGGCCACCCAGTGACAAAACCAGGAACTGCCACAACCTCTGAGTGTGTCAAGCCCCGAAAGCCACAAAAAACGTTTCCCAGCAACTCGCTGGGAGCTGGTGTGTGACCAAACCCTCCACCAGGAGCTCCTACCTCTCTGCTTGCGCAGCCTCCCCCAGTGGTGGACACATTCCTCCTTCCGAATGCAGCTCCCAGAGGCTGAGACCATGTACTCAGTGCCACAACGACAGCAAATCCTGCAGGAGGCTTTACAAAGAAGAGAGAAACAAGAGTTAGGTCACTAGAAATCCTTCCCCTAGGTAACTTGGTCAAGGAACAAGTCAATCCCAACCACTCGAGCCCCAAACGCCAGGAAAACAACTTCTTGTGCTAAAACAGGATTTCAGATGGTGGTTCAAACTCTCAGAAAGACAAGGGATCTGAAAGTGCAGTCCTGGAACATCTGCCCCTCAGACACTTCTCAGAGGGAAGTGTAAGAATCCTTAGTGGTTCTGGTGTGCAACACAGTTCTCATCACCATTTGCTGAACTGTTCCTCCATCCACAGCACATTAGGTTGCACTCTAACACAGTTATTTTATAAACAGGATAAATAAGTCATTCTTTGGACATCAGAGCTAAGAAAACCTTGTTTCCAGGGGATCTGTGCCTTGTCACTTCCAAATGACATTTGAGTTCTTCCTGGGCACAGGTTTGCTGTAAGGAAAAACACCTAAACCATGGGAACACAGCCTGGCCCACTGAGGGGGCAGCTGTGGATGGATGTCCTGTCATCTGGGCTTGTCCTGCTCACAGCCCAGGGAAGGGAGATGAAAAAAGCTACAGTAAAGGAGCTGATTCTCATGCTTCTGATTTCCATGCAATTCCCTGAGTTCCAGTGTGAGCTCTTAAGCTGCCACCACATCCCCAGCTCTGCACAACACCAGTTGAGTCCAGTTTTGCTCACTGACCACAGCATGAACAAACCAGCAACAGCTTTAGTTAAAGAAGAACAAATTCAAAGATCCTGCAGGGAACTACAGAAAGAAAACCAGAAACATGGTCTCAAAACGTAATAAAGGAGCTGGTTACCTGGAGAAAAGGGCTCCAACAAATACAGCACTTGACAGGGTTAATGCACTTCCATACAGGTTGCTTCAGCAACCACAGGACAAATGTAGCCACAAGGTGTGAACACAGATGAGCACTTCACACACTTTAGCAAGGTCTCTCCACAGAGATGTTCAAAGGAGTGTTCAAGGCACCTCCAAGTAGATCCTAAGTACTTGTTTTATCCCTGCTGCACCACAGCCTGCTCTAACTAGCTCTTCAGAGGCATAAACCCTGCTCCAGGAGCTCAGAAAATTCAGAGGGAGAAGGAGCTGTGCTGAGGAAACCTGAGGCATCACTGTGTCCAGATGCTAAAAAGGCTTTTGGGAGCTACTTGGTCCAGCAGAAAACTCTCCAATCCAAACCAGCAAAGCACAACCCCACTGCAAAGCCAACCTGGCCCAATGTTGGTCCATATCCCACTGAACCAGCAGCTCATAAACACAGACCAAAAAATCCCTGGGAGAGTGAAGTGCCATCAGGTGCTGAGCAGGAGTCTCTCTCAACCATGTTTTTCAAGGGAATGTAGTGAAAGGATGAGGGGGAATGGGTTCAAACTGAAAGTGGGGAGTGAGAGATGAGACCTTAGGAAGAAATTCTTTGCTGTGAGGGTGGTGAGAGCCTGGCCCAGGTTGCCCAGGGAAGCTGTGGCTGCCCCATCCCTGGCAGTGTTGAAGGGCAGGTTGGATGGGGCTTGGAGCAACCTGGGCTGGTGGGAGGTGTCCCTGCCCATGCAGGGGGGTGGATCTAGATGATCTTTAAGGTCTCAAACCAGTCTAAGATTCTAATTTCCCTTCCAACAGCAGCCTCCAAGTTAATACAACAAACATGGAGTCAAAACCTGCACTGAGTGAGCATGTGCAGCACACGTGCCTGCTCTTGCAGGGGGTGACCAAGGGCAGCTTGTCCAGGGAGGCAACCTGAGCAATTCACAGAATCATGGAATGGTTTGGGTTGGAAGGGACCTTAAAGATCACCCAGTCCCAACCCCCCTGCATGGGCAGGGACACCTCCCACCAGCCCAGGCTGCTCCAAGCCCCATCCAACCTGCCCTTCAACACTGCCAGGGATGGGGCAGCCACAGCTTCCCTGGGCAACCAGGGTATCAGCACCCTCATGGTGAAGAACTTCCTTCAATTCACACTCTTTGGCAGCAATGAGGAACCTCACTCAGGCTCTCAGCCCCGCATGCCACAAACTATGAACCTTGTGTCAAAAAGCACATCCTGGTGACATGCAAGCTGAAGAATCTCATCCTCTAGGAACACAGCAGGCTTCTGCAGCCACCCTCCTGTCCAGCTGGTCTGCAGAGCCAGAGGTCACAGCCAAGGAGACCCATCACAACAGGAGCAAACAGCACCAGGCTGAGACCACGAACATCTTGATACAAAAAGACCAGTGGCAGGGAGGAGAGGCATCTCCAGCTGCAAGGTACCCAGCAAACCTTGCAGAAGGAAAGAACCAGAACTTACAGTCACTTGTCTTCTTCTCCTCTGCAGTGAAGAGAACAGCACGGCCAGGCTTCTCGGGGTGAGGCATGGGGTACCCATTCTCCTTGAGCTGCTCCTCAGTCATCAGATACTCCTTCAGTCGCCGGTACAAGGCAGCTCCTGCACACACAGACAGGCCTGAAGCCACTGCTGGAGAGGCTGCTTCTCCTCCTGCTTTTCACTTTATCAAACCCCATGGCAGGGACTCCCACTATTTTAAGCTTGTTTCTACTGCCTTTATTCAGGATTGACAGGGCAAGAGGTAGCAGGGCTGTATTTTTGCATTTCAGCTGCACAAGTTGATTTTGAACCTCTTCAGCAACCTGGGAAGCAGCTGAACCAGAATTCCTCCAACTGGCCCATCTTCAGGCCCTTTTGTTACCTGTGGGACTTCTCCTAATTTCATGTTTTAAATGGTCTAACTGATGATTTGTAACACAGCTCAAAGACTAGCCCTCAAAGGCCACCCATAGCTAGCAAGAAAACCTCATTATCTGAAGCTTTCTTCCTGCTGTTGATTTCAGGCTGCCTGTTTCACAGAATAATTAGAACTTCTTGCACTCTGCTCAATATCTCTTCTTTTGCTGCTACGTTAAACCCTTCCAATATTGCTGGAGACCCTTTGATGTTGCTCAGCTGAGCTCTACAGGCCCTTTTAAGCTTTCTCCATGTCAATTCCTTCTGCTCCGTGGCCTCCCTGGCTCTTCTCTGATCTCCTCAACAATTTGCCTACATCTCTTGGCAACCAAAATACCCATAAACTGACCTGAGCCAACACAAATAATGCTTGTGGGCACAATCTTTTGGCTACAATATGACCTTACTGTGACATTCATAGACACAAACCTAAGCCCTGCAGAGCAGATGGAGACATTGGTTAAGTCTGCCTTTGAATCTGACAGGCACGTTGTAAAGTTGCCTTCAGGGCAAGGAAGTTCAAGGAAAACCCAAACAGAAATAAAAGCCCAAAAGTCAGTAACACCCAAAAGACAAGAGGCAGCAGTTACTGAGGCTACATCAAAGCCATGGGGAGTAAATCAGTGAACCTGCAGCCCAAAGAGGAGGAGTGAGGAAGATGCTGATCATCCAGCAGCTCTGCAGCACTGTCCTGCAGGGAGGTGACAGCTCCTAACACTGGCCTCCAGACACACCACAGCACTTCATATGTCAAGGTTCTGCACCTGGGTCAGGGCAATCTCAAACACAAATACAGGTTGGGGTGGAGACTGGATTGGAAAAAGCCCTGAGGAGAAGGACTTGGGGTTGATGGTGGATGAGAAGCTCAAGATGAGCTGGCATCATGTGCTGGAACCCAGAAACCAACTGTTTCCTGGGCTGAGTGACCAGCAGGGCCAGGGAGGGGATTGTCCCACTCTGCTCTGCTCTGGTGAGACCCCACCTGGAGAACTGGGGCCACTTCTGGAGCCCCCAACATAAGGACATGGAGCTCCTGGAGCAAGTCCAGAGGAGACCATGGAGATGATCCAAGGGCTGGAGCAGCTCTGCTCTGGAGACAGGCTGGGAGAGTTGGGGTGTTCAGCCTGGAGAAGAGAAGGCTCCAGGGAGACCTTAGAGCAGCTTCCAGGGCCTGAAGGGGCTCCAGGAAAGCTGGGGAGGGGCTTGGGACAAGGGCAGGGAGGGAGAGGACAAGGGAGAACAATTTTAAACAGAAAGAGGGGAGACTGAGGTTGGACATGAGGAGGAAATTCTGGAATGTGAGGGTGGTGAGAGCCTGGCCCAGGTTGCCCAGGGAAGCTGTGGCTGCCCCATCCCTGGCAGTGTTGAAGGGCAGGTTGGATGGGGCTTGGAGCAGCCTGGGCTGGTGGGAGGTGTCCCTGCCCATGCAGGGGGGTTGGAACTGGATGATCTTTAAGGTCCTGTCCCACCCCAACCAATCTGGGATTTTGTGACCAGCAGGATCCTATTTGCCCCAGTCACAGCATTCCAGCTCCAGCTGCAATTCCCAGGTTGCAGCCTCCTTGGGCAGGGTCTTCTTACCTGTTAAATCCTCTGCTCTCAAGCTCCCTGAGCG